TTTTTGCTTTTTGAGACAGGGTCTCACTGTAGCCCCAGCTGTCCTGGAACTCACTACATAGACCGGGCTGACCTTGAACTCACAGAGATCCACCTGCCTCTGTCTCCTGAGTGCTGGGATTAAAGGCGTGCGCCACCATGCCCAGCTACATATGTAATTTTTTATGCTCAGGTGTGCTCCTTCCATATCTAATCTGTACAAGGATTTTAACCTGTAAAGTTGTTGCATTTCATTATATGCCTTTCCTTTATCTATTAATCATGTGATTAATAGTCTTCCTTCTATTGATATGATACATGATGTTTAGTTTGCATGTATTAAACCATCCTTTGAACCCTGGATTGAAACCTACTTGATCCTAAAGGATCATATTTTAGTTATGCTACTGTATTCTATTGACTAGAATTTTGCTGAGATACTTTGTGTCTATTTGATCATAGATATCTGTCTACAGTTTTCTGTGTCTTTGGTTTTGTTCAAAGGTAATGTTGCTGTTATAGAATGAATTTGAAAGAGTACCCTCTCTTTAAACCTGTGGATTTGTTTGAAACAAATTGGTGTTAGTTCTTTAATGTTTAGTCTCTAGTCTTAGTTAAGCAGTGAGGGATATGTGCAGCACCAGCCTGAAGGGTTGGTTTGAGGCCCCAGAAGTGATTGATTCAGAAGGGCAGAGCCTCCCACACTTCACAGTCTGACCCGAACCTTTTTTCAGGCTGCTTCTTGCTGTGACTTGACCTGACTCAGTCTCCTCAGATGGCCCTACTTCCTCTTCGTACTGCCATTTCAATGAGTGGTGATCTATCAGCTCATCTGCCCCTTCCTTTAATTTCCTTAATTAAATTTCCTTTAATACTTGAAACAGATGCCTCAGTACCTGGCCCAAGGGGCATGTGCCCTGAGGCCTCTCTGAGCAAACACACCCCACCTGGAGGCCTGTTAGAGCACAAGCACAGTTCCCCACTCTTCACGCTCAACCCCGGGTGACTGAATGAACTGGGACTTTCTTTGATTTCTTAAATTTCTTGTCAGGCTGAGTATTTGTATTCACAGACCCCCATACTACCCAGCACTGACCCATGTACACATAAGCTAAGCAATTACTGCTTGTTGAAATGGAATGACTATTTTCTGCTAAGATGGGGAAGTGATGAAGCCCATTCCTGAAAGAACTCTCCCCTCAGAGTACTATGTTGAGCTTTCTTCAACTAAATATGACAGAGTGTATGATTCTTCTTGTTGGTAAATTCTGAAAGCAAAGGCAAGTTTGCAACAGGCCTGGCTATCAGCAAGGTCTCCTACACTCAACTCATTCCCCTTTTCATGTTGAGTAAGGAGCCATCACCTTTTTTGTGGATGTTACCATCCTGAGATCCAACCTGACTACTCCGCCTATGTTTTTCTGTGTAGATTAAACAAGCTCTGTGTGACCAAATCTCTTCTCTTTCTTATCAGATGACAGGCAGTAAGTGGCCTTGAAGGTAGTAGGGTAAATACACTTATGTTTAAAGTTCAGCTGCCATTACTTTTTCCCTTACTTCCAGGTGAAAGCAGAAACTGCTCTCACAGGATGCTTATTACGATAATCGTTTATGATATCGGTACCATCTGCCTTTGATGTTATGATTTCCTTAGTTAAACATATGATTTTTCAGCATTAACCAAACATCTGCTCTGGGTGAACTCACACATTCTAGGTCTTGTACATGCTGTACGTGAGCTCTATCCTATTGCACGGCATCCCCAGCCCAAACTTTTATTTTGAGGTGGGTGAAGATTCTCACCTATGGTCTAGGATGGCCTTCGACCCCTTATATTTACATCATATTTATGAAGAAATTGGGATTTATTTTTAAATTTTGTAAGAGAGGGAACATGAAGCTTAGGCTGCTGGTAGATCCCATAGATTAGAGTGGTAAGAGTTTACTGAAGAACCCAATAACTAGAAGGGTGACTATGATTATAAAAGAGCATTCACTCATCTAATGTTCATGACAGCCCTAAGATATATGCAAATTAAGCATAAGGGAATGAAGTTTAACACAGATAATTGTATTTCCACTGAACTGTTTACTTGGGAATTTACTGTGATGGGTCTTTGCTTATAGTTAAACCAAATCGAAGTCTAAAAACATTAAAAGTGTTTTTTTTCCTTCTCTGAATTGTTTTTGCACTGATGACAACACCACTTTTATTCCCCATCCCTATCTGAAGAGACTTTATCATCACGTATCTTGGCATTCATTCCTACCAGTATTATTAGGTTTCCAGGCATTTTCCTTCTTGAACCTCCTCTCTGTGTGGTTAGGAACTTTTAAAAACTGTCTAGAAAAGGGGCCATAGGAGAACAAGTGATGGATCTGGAAAAAACACGGTATGGCACTATGTGTAGCCTTGGTGGACAACATGTTCTCCCACAGCTGGAACATCCAGGGATGTGTGACTTTATAGATAACTGCTGCCAAGTACCCTTGGCTGGTAGGGGAAGCCAGCATATTTCTGACAAGACAGCTCATTCTTAGGAGATATGACATTGGAACTGGAACCCAGCCACCTGCCACCTTGCCCTGTGATGGAAGGGCAGACTTACAAGAAAGCAGCCACAAATGAAGCAGTTTCTCTGTTTGTTATGGCTTGTCAGTAACACTATACTGGACCATTTCTCACAGGTGGTGAAGAGGAGGTAGGTCTCATGAGTCCCCAGAGTCCACTGTTCATCAGCACAGACCCTCATGTTACTCTAGCATCAGTACCAGATCCTTACTCCCTCCATCTCAAATCCAACCTGTATTCCAATGCTAACCACAATGGTGGGACTCAGTGATCCAGAAGTACAGACAGCAAAGTGCACCTCTAATCCCCAAAGTCATCTCCACCCTGGCCACTTCTCCCTTCTTTAGTTACATATGCTTGTCTGTCGCACGTGGGTAAATGCCTCACTCGTGACTGCAGAGCTGGCCTCTGAGCTGGCTGCCAAGTTGCAAAAGCAATCTTTCCTCTGTGTTGGCACCAGAAAGAAGTCCTTAAATTGTGATCACACTTTGCAGAGCTGCCCTTTCTGTGTGAGGAGCTGGCAGCCCTGGTGGGGGAGAATGCTGAGCGTCTCTCTTTTCTTTGTGGCTACATCTGATCCACCTTTTTCAGCGCACAGCAAATGTTCATGCTGAACAGAAAGCATGCATCAAAGGGCTAGACTCCTCGCCCCCCTCCAAAATTCCACAGCCTTTGTTGTCACTGGAGCTGGGTGGTTATTGAACTTTGCAGACCTGCTGGGCTTGGAAAGTGAAAACACCCTCTGGAGCCAGCAGGGGTGGTACTGTGTGCCTGGGAGATAGGGCTGCACATCCAAAGGCCTGGCGGTTGCCATGACACCCTGACACCGAGATCATTCCTTATGAATGTCACTGGGGTCTGTGACTAAAGTTGTTTATGAGTCAAAAGTCTCATGAAACTACAGGAGGAGATGATGACCGCACCTCACAGGCTGTGGGAAAGAAGATTGGAGCTTCGTAGAGCTCACATGCTCCCCCCACCCCCTTTGCTAAAGAAGATCATCTTTAAATAGGACGTGTGGAGCAAGACAGGCTGAACAGACTGACATTTCAGTCATCACTATGTACAAGGCAGCAATAAAGTAGTATTTTAAATCATACACTGGCCGGCTGTAGTTTTGCTGGGCTTTGTGGCTCAGCCAGCAGCATGGAGCTGAGCTCCAAGAGCCAGGAGGAGCAGCTTTCTGACCATTTGCCTCATTCTTCCTCCTTTGTTCCTCCAGCATGAAGGGTTACGTTTTTCAAACCATAGCCTCTGCATCCAAGGGAACAGTTAAGGTCATGGGTACCTCCTCTTCCCTCATAGAGAGATTTTAAATAACAGACACCATTGTTAGTGCTGTAATATGAATGTATAAATTGCCCAACAGAGGGTGTGAAAATCATAGCAAAGAAAGGCAAAAGTAAGCACTATGGGAGGGGTGTGGATTTTCTTCTGTTCCTGGACTATCTCCCCCTCCCTTGGATAAAGGACCTCTCCTTTGATAATTGGAGAATCAATCAAGAGAAAGAAAAGAGACTGAGAATTTTTCCTTTCAACATGGGGAAAAGTGGGGGTACAGGCACCCCCAACTCAGTAGCCCATGACTAAGACAAAGTTACAGAGGTCACTGGGAAAGGTGGGGAAGAGGAAGGATGCAGTATCATCCTCGGGGAAAAGTGGCACGTGCATGCTGCTAAAGCCTTGCATTTGAAGTTCAGATCCCATTTTTATATGACTTTAAAATAGGGTCTCCCTATGTAGCCCTGGCTAGCCTGCAACTCACCATGTAGGCTAAGCTGGCTCTGAATTTGTAGCAAGCCTCCTGCACGCTGGAGATTGCAGAATGCAAACAATGTCCTGCTCCCAGATCTCTCTTTAATTTAATTTAATTTTAAAGACAGGGTCTCCCTGTAGCCCTGTCTGGCCTGGTGCTCACTATGTGGACCAGGCTGGCCTCTGTCTCTGAAGTGCTGGGATTAAAGACATGCACCACTACACTTAGCTCAGATCTCTTTTATTTTTAGGGTCTTTTTGAGAAAGGGTCTCCCTGTAGCCCCAGCTGTCCTGGAACTCACTATGTAGAGCAGGCTGGCCTTGAACTCACAGAGAGCTGACTGCCTCTGCCTCCCCAGTGCTGGGATAAAGGCATGCGCCACCATGCCCGGCTAGATCTCTTTTTTAATAAATCAGATTATAATTCTAAATAAGTGGCACAAGAAAACTTGTTTTTGAAAAACAATTCTGTATTAAATTTTTTAAAGTATGTACTTCTCCCGTATTAATTAAATACATGGGAACATAGAGCTATCTTGGGAGGACATCCATGTGGCTTACACTGACAGAAGTTGTTGCCTGCCCCCAGGGTCATTCTCACCTCTGACACGGTGCAGTTGAGCTGGAAGATCTGCCCTTCCCCTTCCACCTGCCGCACACAGAGTTTGCAAACCAGCTCCACTGTGCTGAGGCTGAGTCTTTCCAGAGTGAAGGTGCAGTGGAGGTTTCTTTGTGAGCCACTCCAGATATGGTAAAATGGAATTTCCTGAAGGACATAAAGGTGTTAACCACAAACAAGGGACTGATGTTGTAAGTACCTACCAGACACTGTTGCCTAACAGTGTTCATCTTATCTCATAACAGCCCTGTGTGACGTAGACCTGACCTTTCTTCACATAAGAAAACAAAAGCCCAGAGAGGTTGACTAATACCCAACGTCACAGAGTGTGTAAGTGGAACAGCTGCGGCTGGAACCCAGGGACTGTCTGCCTCTAAGGATCCACACACTTAACCAGTCCACCTGTCTCTCATTTAAAAAAAAATAAAAAAACAACAAAAAATTCATTGTAAATTATTTTTTTATAAAGCTTAGAAAGTTCCCAAATAAATCCTACACACACCATCATTGCTCATTAAAAGGAATCCCTGGTGTGACATTCTGGAGAAGAGCAAAGCAAGCCACAGGGTGATGCACTGACTCCTTATCCTTTCATGCCTCTCCCCTCCCTCCACCCAGGGCATGGGCAGCGAAATCTTGCTGCACTTGGAGATCAGTTGCCACAAAAAAATCCTTGGCCTAAAAAGCACCAAGCCGCTAGTAGATACTTGTTTTGTAACAGAGCCTTTCCTAGACTCTTGATGGGAGGGTACAGTGGTTAAAGACTGAGGTTCTGGTAGTAAGTGACCGTACCCTCCTCATGACTACTTAATAACTTAAGGTAAGATACTCAGCCTTGCCATTCAGCTCATCATTTGCAAAAAAGTAATGCAGAATAACATGTAATCCAAGTACCTGCCAGGCTCAGTGGGTGTCTGGTGGGAGGGAGAAGATTTAGATGGGGTAGTAGCCTGAACTGACATCATATCATCATTCTTATTTATTTTTATTTTATGCATATTGCCTGCATATATGTAATGTCTCCTACTGTGTCTTGCAATGCCTGTAGAGGTCAGAAGAGAGCTTTGGATTCCCTGGAACTGGAGTTACAGATGGTTTGTGGCCACTTTGTGGGTGGTGGGAACCTAACTCATCCTCTGCAAGAGCAGACAGTGCTCTTAACTGCTGAGCCATTGACAGCCATCTCTCCAGCCTCTATCACAGTTTTTTAAATAGCACTTCCCTATGCAGCAGAGGGCCAGAAACACAAAAGGTCACAAATGGTCAAAATGTAGAGAATATGAGTATACAGAGTGTGGGTCCTTGGAAAGGACAGGACTCCTATATTAAAATCTACCCACCCAGGGCACAGGGACAATTGTGTAAGAGCCAGGGAGGTGGTGCATGACCATTCGGAAGTGAGTCCTACAGTTTCCTGGGACTTTGTTCATATGAACTTACAGCAATGATGTCAGCATGCACAAGACCCATGCAAACTTAAGCAAACAAAAACCCAGAACAGAACTGAGGAAATGAACAGCAGGCCCCAATCTTAGTCGAAGAATTATTGGCAGCTGATTACTGCTGGGGGAGGAAAAGCTGATCATCTTAAAGGGAGGGACTCTAGATAGGTTGACAAGACCTCAGTGGATGAACTTGCACTGACGGACATCTGGGGTCACTAACTTGACATGATAGGCCTTAACACAAATGACAGAATATATGAATTCCAGTGGGGGAGGCTATGGGAGGAGGCCAGTGGCGAAGGGGATATAAAGATGATGATGTTCTGTATGAAATACACAAAAATTCAATAAAAATTTAAAAATAAATAAATAGCATTTCCCATTAGGATACAAAGGAAATTGTTTACAAAAGGGAAGATCTGTTTCACAGTGATAATAATAGAGGCAGCAGAAAGCAAGCAAAGAAAGAGAGACCATGAGAGAATCAAAAGCAGGGTTCAATGCTGACCTAGGAAGGGCGACTCTCAACAATGCTCATGACTGCTAATAAACAGGAAGGTTTGCATACTTAGGTGTAGGTCTCTCACATGAAAGGTAGCGTGCAGCTGAAAAGCCTTCCTTTCTGTCTGTCTGGAATGTTCCTTTGAAGAGGAGACAGCCTCCTGATCATCAGCAGAGCTGGGCTTTGTGTGGGCAGGAACTAGAGGTTTCTTTAGTGAGGTCTCATCTCCTGGGCAAGATGAGGTTGGTCCATCAGAACCCTTAGTCTACTGAGTACAGGAGTACTGATAGATGGGGGAGGTGATACCGCCAGGTGACCTGCCCATCTCTATATGTGAATATAAAGAGCCTAGGGACAGAACATTAATGCCTTGTAGTCAATAGATTCCTCATAAAGTTTTACTTTTGTGTGTCATTTTGGTTTCTGAATTCTGGTTCCTCCCAAGTTTCTGATGTTAGGGTGCTGTGCTAGCAGGACACTAGGGAGCCCAGTGCATGTCAGATAGAGTAACAACATCCTGTTTTCTCCTCTGAATGCATTTGAGGCTGTTCCTGTTAATTCAATGAACATTTACATTGAAAATTAACTGAGTGAAAGAAATAAAAATATCTTATTTAATGAAAATAATATGATAATACAGTTCATTTTAAAGAGAATATTTTTAAAAGCAATCTTTTAAGTATGCCTATTGGGAATCTTCCAAAAAAACCCTGACCCAAACTCTTTTGGAGAAGTAAGTATTGGCATGGGAACAAGTCCAAGGAAGGAGATTTCTTATAGCTGCAAAATCTTAATCTTTCTTGAACCTGTTTCTAAGCAGTTGGTGCTACTCAGTAGCCTCACCTGATACTTCGCCAGCAATTTACTCTTCCAGAGGGAATGGGCAATGTCATGAATCGAGAGGCGCAGGTTGTGGATGCTGCCTTTGAAATGAAGAGCCTTGGGTTCTTCCAGGAGCTGGCCTCCCATCTGCCGCTCAAGTTGTAGAACTTCCTACAAGGACACATCAAAAACCAAGGCACGTTATTGATGCATCTACCCGATTTCTGACAGCCTCCACATCCAGTAATAAGTTTCTTCCCTGACTCTTGAACTTGGGTAATGCCATGACCCCCACAGTCTGTGGGTCTGAGACCCCCAATCATCTTGCATGGGCCTAGGCTCACCTGACAAGCTACCTGTGCAATTCATAGCACATTGCTGGGGAGTAAACTCAGTAGCTTGTCTTGCAGCTGGTAAGTACAGAAGACTGATACCCAGAACTGGGGGGACGTCAATAAAATGAAAGAGATGGTAGAAATATAGGTAAACCAATAATAAAATATATCATCAATGAATATTGAAGAAAGGGAACAGATAATTAGAAGATAGGTTCATATGTTAGAGCTGACAAAACCAACCAACCAATCAATCATTTTTTGAATGTTTTAGACATTTGGTCCAATCTCTGTGGTTTGATTATACATAGGAATGGAATGACAAAAAAATAATGCAATAACCAATTCACAGTTACTAAAAGATTCTAGATTTTTAAAATTTTTGGTCTTTTGGAGAAACAATCTCCCTGTAGCCCCAACTGGCCTGGAACTCACTATGTAGACTAGGCTGGCCTTGAACTCACAGAGATCTGCCTGCCTCTGCCTCCTGAGTGCTGGGATTAAAGGCATGTGCCACCATGGCCAGAATAATATTAAATTGAGAGAGAGAGAGAGAGAGAGAGAGAGAGAGAGAGAGAGAGAGAGAGTAGATCAGAAGACAACCTTGGGTGATACTCCTCAGGTTCTGTCCAACTTTGTTTTCCTTGAGTCAGAGTCTCTCATGGAGCTGGAATGTTCCAAATAGAGTAGACTGGCTGACCAAGAAGCCACAGAGATCAACCCAAATCTGCCTTTCCATTATTGGGATTATAAGCATGTAGTACATGCCCATCTTTTCTTTTACTTAAGTTCTTGGGGTGTAAGGCCATCTGAGCTATTTCCTCAGCCTAGAATATGTTCTTATACTATTCATATTAGTACTGAGAAATCTTCAAAATTAGAGTTTTAAACAACAAATATGAAAAGTTACTCAGATTAAACTTAAAACAATTTGCCTCACTTCTCAAGAATTGTAGCTGATGAAAACTTGCTCCATCATTTACTTACAGTATAAAGATATAACAGGAAGACAAAGTCTATATTCACTTCCATTTCTCAAGCTGGTTAATGGGAGTTAATGAAGCATTTCCAACTACAGCTGCAATTATCCAAACAGCAGCACACTCTAAGTTATCAACACACAAAATAAACCATCCCCCTGTGCTTTGTTCCTCTCAGGCTACAAAAGTTTTAATGACAAAAATGCATGTGATTTATGACCTTTTGGGAAAAATGGGAATCCAGGATAATAATGGCATTTATAAAAATAAAGCAAAATATAATTTTCTTCAGTGATATTTCAATAAATAAGAGGGAATTTAAGAACACAAGTGTTCATTCAGAATGCCATCTGCATGTACTGGGGAACAACAAAAGAGCCAAGTACAGAGGGACCACAATGGGAAAGTTCCAGCACTGGACCCAAATTGCTAAATACCAAGAAAGCATCTGCTTTACATTTGGTGAATGAATGCCCACTCATACCCTCAGCACCCAGTCACCACTTAGCTCCCACCATCATGGATTGCAGTCAAACAGTTCCTTAAAATGTTCAGTTCCCAGCTACCATCATCATTGTATCAGGCCACTATTGTGAGCAACAGAAACTGCTGGGAAGTCCTATGAGGTATAAATACCCGAATAATGGGAGACACGGTTTCAGATGGGGAATCCTCTAATTAGTAGCTAATGGAACACAGGAGGTAAGAGCTTCCCTGACATGGAGAAGTGTGCAGTCCAGCTGTCTGATAGTATTGACCCGCTCTCGTCCATGGCTGGGGATGAGTAGCTATGACTTGTGACAGGAGATGTGCAGTCAGACAGGAACCCTGACACACATGCTGTGTCACTATACCCTGATGCTGCTGTGCTTGCTTCAGCAGGCCCCCAGGGTCCCCAGTAGAACTTACAGATACAGCCAGTTCACAATCACACACAGCCCTCTGAGAATATCTTCCCTGGCCATGTACACCCCACTCCCTGACAAGAATTCTCTGGCCCTGTGGAAGGCTAAGAAAACTGAGGGTTAATTGCAGTTGCTTCTGCTTCAGCAGGAACACATAATGAGCTTACGTTGATCATGTTTGGTGCCTAGTTAGCATAATAGAGAAGGCTGACGTTCCCAGTGAACCTGGCACCTGACAAATTCTAAAGCTAAAATGATGTTTGTTTATAAGCCATTAGAAGAAAAGAAACATAATTAGAAATCTTTGAGATTACAGTCATGCCAATCAATCAGTTCTAGCTTCTTTCCAGTATGCCCTAATTACCTCATCAAGACATCTAAAGAGCAATCGATAGCAATTATCTGATTACTATAGATCTTCATTACATCCAAATTATCTCCCTGGGATGTCTAAAAGAAGATGCATTGTACTCGGGGAGGTAATTGTATCCAAAAACGTAGAATGTACACCTCATCCCTACAATCACTATAGAATACCAGAGGATAGCACCTTATCATTATCAGTTTTCTTGGCAGGATGGACCAACCACCTAACAAAATATTAGCTGCCTATTAGCCATGACCTTGAAGTCAAGACATCTAATGTGACATTTTAAATGCAATGTCTGGGTAGGAGTCAGTCTAAGAATTAAGGCTGGACATTTGCCTTCTTTAGCCGTAACTTCGGAAGTCATACTAGAGTTCTCCCTAACGAGGAGTGTCTGGAAAAATCTGGAAAGCCCTTTTCGGAGAGAAAGAACCAAGCACAGCACATTAACAGTAGTGGGGCCAGAAAGTAAACACTCTTCATCTGGTTTGCTCACTGTCTCTCCATTTACCAGGAGGTCCACAGAGCTGCTGCTCAGAATGGGAGAAACCTGACTTTCTTCTCAACTGGACATAAACCCTGGGGAAAGATAAGTGAACCATCAGAATGCCTCCATGCTAAGACAGAAGGCCATGGTTTCCCTCTTGTGTGTTTCTTGTGTATTACTACCAGTCAAAAAATTAGCTTGCATATTGTACCAGTCCAAAACTGATTATGCACTTTTTGATGATTTCCTTATAAGTTATAACCATATTACTACATCCATATATAAATATGTCACATTATAAAAAATAAAGTCACGTGCTAAGATAACTGCAGAAGTATTCTCTTTTGTTGGCCCAATGAGTCAGTGGGCCTGGGGTATATGAACTCAGTATATGAACAGCAAGCTGCTGTCTTCACACCAGAATCTGAGGGAGAAATCAGGCCAGGAGTGAATGATTCAGTAGGAAAAACTGAATATAGTCAACTTAAATTTAACATACTTTTTTTTTTCCTGAGGTTCAACTTTTAAAAAATTCATAAAATACCAGAGAAGACAAGAACCAAAGCCCTAAAGATATTCCAACATATGTGAAAGATATTTCAGTTAATAAAGGAAAGAACTCCTTGGAAACAAAAATCATGTAAATCCACATATGAGTCTAAGATGACTTGTCACACTCAGCAGATGCTATTTGTAAGTTTTCAGTGGGTCAGCTCATACAACAGGCTAAGCAGGCTTGTGTTCCATAGTGTTAGTGTTCACCGTTCTAAGCTGAGCTATGTATGACCATTTTCACTTTAAAATATGCTGTAACTTTTACTTCAGAAACTTCTATTATCTGGACTCCTGCATGAAATCATCTTGGTTAATGTTTATAAGAAGCAGTTACACAAGGACAAAAAATTTATAATGGAGTATACCTCCATGGAACATGACTTTACAGTTCAATGTTTTAATCTCCTGGCTTCCTGGGAAGAGCCACTCGACATCAATGAGATGTGTAGCTCATATCAGGAAATACAAAGGTGAGTAAACTGTCATCCCTCCCCCAGCTTCTGGTCTGCATGGTGTAGAGGCCACCATGCAGATCTGTAGCCAGGCTGCAGTGAACTTTACTTTAAAATCATGCCATGCCAAATTATTTCTGGATCACAATGCTTAGGATATCTCACATACTTTAATGGAGAAAAAGAACCAAATATATTTAAGGTCAAAAGATTTAGGAAGGGTAAAGAAAAATATCATGACCTTGGAAAGAAATATCAACATAAAAATCTGGATCATCTAGGCTGTTTGTACTCAGACATATAAAGGTCACCTTCCTTTGCATAGGTTGTCATTCCTAGTGGGGGAAGGCTCAACTCCAAGGCCCTAGCCCTAGATAAACCTTCCTATGGTCTCTGCCTCTTGCTTTCCCTTAAAAAATACTGAAGAGTGACTCAAGGGTGACTAACAGAGAGTCTCTGGCCCATCCTTCCAAGGCAACACACAGGCCCACACACACATAAACCCTAGTGTAGTATCAGCCTGGATTCAGAGCAGTTCCCTGATGCAGTGTCTACTTTGAGCACAAGCCTGAGTGAGGGCTGAATTGATTCCAGAAGCCTGTGAGGGATTGCTCCAAAGGCAGCAACAAGGGATTCCACTGTAGAACAAGCAGCTTGCACAATAACCAGTTACATCAAGGCATTTTCCATGCCGAGCCATTAGCTTGGGCCACTTAAGAGGCACAATAAATCCAAGCTCTTTTAAAGGCCTCTGAATAAATGGAGCGGCTCTGGCCTGTGCCCAGACCTCTCCTAGGTTCCTAGACAGCAGGATCTGTTTGCATTGGGCCGGGCAGAGGAAGACAGGTTTGGGTACACCTGGCAGCCCATGACTCCTATGTTCTTTCTCTATCCCCAGAATTTACAACTATTCATGACTGTCAAGCCATGTGAGGTCTGTCTCCCCTGTTCTTCCTGCTATCTATTCTCCTTTTGGTCACTCTAAACATGGACAAACCTCTCTCAAGGGACAGTCTCACAACTCTGGCTTCTTGGCAGATCCCAGATAACAGAGTAGCAGATGTACAGATAGACACTCAAGAAATTTCTT